ACGTGTGGGGAATGAAACCAGGGTCTTCTGTATGACGAGGGAACACCTTAACCACTAGACTACCCCATCAGCTACAGATATAAATTTCGTACTTTGAAGTTTATACAGATTCCCGAATGTTGGTTGGTTGAGAGAGCAGTCATGTGATCTAAATTTCAAGGTCCATTCCTCTTGAACCATTCAAATCGTTCATATGTGTGTAAACATCGTTCATACTTGTGTGAATGTTTTCGAGCCAATCAAGGTCATGTGAACTTTTGCCAGAACTACTTTCCAGGTTTTCCCAGGATACTCTCTGTCCAGCTTGACATAAACAAAATAAAAATTATTTGCATTCATAGATCCATTTCAAATGACAAAAAGCACCAACTGAGCACAGTTTTGCAAAATCTGACTGACAACGCGTCCGACAACAAGCGACAGCCAGTGCGACCTCATTTTCAAATTTCCGCTTTGGTTTTAAGGAACTCCAATGATCTTGCTGCAATTGGTGATGCCAAATTTGCGACCGAACCTGTTTCAAGTCACCCCAATTTTGGCAATGTCACTTCTTCACTACCAAACGGATTTCCAATTGCCGAACATTGTTCCTTTTCACACAAGTTTAATCTCTCGCGGTGTGCAGGTTCATCTGGCGGTTTTCTGCCCCATGGTCTATTTAACAACTGCTCAATAAATTTCACAATAAACAATCACAAATAAATAGAATACAACAACGAGATTTGCTTCCTATTCAATGGGCTCGTAAAGTTGCTCGTTCACACGAGTTTCAACAACGCTTTGACATCGTTCATTTCTCAGTGCAAACACACAAACTGACATTCAATTCTTAAATATCTGAACTAACAAAAACACAAACACCAATCAACTCTAAAATGAGGCCAAGGTAAAGATATTTCTCACTTACATCTAATTCAGCTAGGTAGGCATTACAGACATATACAAACGCTGACATCTAGTTCAGATAAAGATAACCCACACATCAGCATTTGCATCCAGTCAAGCGGAACATATACAGCAACACAACCAATTCTACTCCAGCTGGAAATATATGTGTAAACTGCAGCCCCAGTAGAGATGGCCACAACACAGCACAGGAGACATGATTTAAGGCAGGCCTCTGGTCCATGGGTCACCTGTAACCTTTGGACTTCAGGATTTATGTGCACGCCTCCTTTTCCAAACTCCTGGATCCGCCCCTGTGAAACAGTATTTGGATCATGGGATGCCCTAGTGGTTTCTGTTCAACATCTCAGTTGACTTGACAAGTGTCAGCCACAAACTATGACAGAAAACCTGACTCAGCAACAGATATTCTGTTTCAAATATGATCATTTTGAAAACGACACACCTGTTCTAAAACACAAAGGCTTCTGATGCACTGTGTCACTCTGGGCTTTTAGAGTGGTAAGCATAATTTCACTGCCAGCCATAAACACATTTCTAACATTACGGAGTCAAAAGACTGATAATTACCAGACACTGTACATATACATCCACTGACCTTGCAGGAACTGGCTAGCCAACCTACGGTGCTATACTTCATGTAATAGTAGTGAAAGCTGTACTCAGGCAATTAAAAACAGTGAAAGCAATACAGGCATCAATATTGATGAGACACCTTTCTATCACCATGGTAACAGCAACAACAGACATGAAACCATCTTCAACCAAATGGAAAGTTGATACCACAAGAAATTCCACTGACAGTCCTGATCAATATATAACCCAGTTTCCGTACCCAGGCATGTAGCGTGTGTAAGCGATGTATCCATACAACCGGTGTGTAAGTTATATCTACCCAAACCTGTTAACAATGTTTCATTTTGAAGCACCTTTATGTTTTCTAAAGACCAAGCTAATGAGGATGGACTAGTAATTCCAAAGATAGCTTGGAGTTCTGTACAGTTGACAGGGTACCTGGGTTCTTGTCACAGCTATTATGTTAAAACTAAAGTTTTATAGGCCCTGATTCAAATAATAATTTGCATAAGAATATTGTGTAGAAACCACTCACTTAAGCATGATGAAAAGTAGGACTGGCTTAAAAGATCGATAATCAGAAATATCATTAACAGGAATTAATGGTTACCAATATGAAAATAGTGTCATTGATAATGATTTAATATCGTACATAAACTTTTTGTGATAGAATGAAGATTTAATTTACTCACACAATGCACAAAATTAGATATCTATTCATGGCCTGCTTCCAAATTATGTTCAGTCCACTGTTTTCTGTGTAATCCATGCATAAACGTGTCACTCACCACTGGTGTGAAATATATTCAAACTTTTGTGTGCATTTGTGCTTAAAGTTACTTCTCCAATATCTATTGATAATCGATATGTAATTAACAATCATTGATTTCTGTGATCTATATTGACAGGCAGCCCTACTCATTTGTGCTTAAAGTTACTTCTCCAATATCTATTGATAATCAATATGTAGTTAACAATCATTGATTTCTGAGATCTATATTGACAGGCAGCCCTACTCATTTGTGCTTAAAGTTACTTCTCCAATATCTATTGATAATCGATATGTAGTTAACAATCATTGATTTCTGTGATCTATATCGACAGACAGCCCTACTCATTTGTGCTTAAAGTTACTTCTCCAATATCTATTGATAATCGATATGTAGTTAACAATCATTGATTTCTGTGATCTATATCGACAGACAGCCCTACTCATTTGTGCTTAAAGTTACTTCTCCAATATCTATTGATAATCGATCGATATGTAGTTAACAATCATTGATTTCTGTGATCTATAGCGACAGACAGCCCTACTCAAAAGTGCTACATTATCACCCTGGTCATTGGATCAGCTTCTACCTAGTTTTCATCTTCAGATGAAAGTAAAGGACTCAAGCTTCCTGTGAGGAGCAAGAAGATGAACAGTCACATGACCAGTTACGATATGGCTGAAATACTTCTGATGTGACAGCTTGAACTCACTCCAACAACCATCTCATCCTATGGTATTTGATTAGATGGTTGCCCTACGGGATACAAGTTTATTGTTCTAGGAATGCCCTACACAATACAGGTTTATGTGATTATCTAGGAAAGCCCCCACTACAGGTTTATTGTTCTAGGAAAGCCCTCTCCAATATCTATTGTTAGGTTTATATGTTCTAGTTCCAAAAGCCCTATGGGATACATTTCTTGATCCATATGACCAGGAAAGCCCTACAGGATACAGGATGTTCTTAAAGTTATTGGGATATAGGTCTATTGTTCCAGGAAAGCCCTACAGGATATGGTATTGTTCTAAAAGCCCTAATACAGGTTTATTGTTCTGTGAAAGCCCCCATGGGATACAGGTTTATTGTTCCAGGAAAGCCCTACAGGATACAGGTTTATTGTTCTAGGAAAGCCCCCATGGGATACAGGTTTATTGTTCCAGGAAAGCCCTACAGGATACAGGTTTATTGTTCCAGGAAAGCCCTACAGGATACAGGATTATTGTTCCAGGAAAGCCCTATGGGATACAGGTTTATTGTTCTAGGAAAGCCCTACAGGATACAGGTTTATTGTTCTAGGAAAGCCCTACAGGATACAGGTTTATTGTTCTAGGAAAGCCCTATGGGATACAGGTTTATTGTTCTAGGAAAGCCCCCATGGGATACAGGTCTATTGTTCCAGGAAAGCCCCCATGGGATACAGGTTTATTGTTCCAGGAAAGCCCTACAGGATACAGGTTTATTGTTCCAGGAAAGCCCCCTGGGATACAGGTTTATTGTTCCAGGAAAGCCCTACAGGATACAGGTTTATTGTTCCAGGAAAGCCCTACAGGATACAGGTTTATTGTTCCAGGAAAGCCCTACAGGGATACAGGTTTATTGTTCCAGGAAAGCCCTACAGGATACAGGTTTATTGTTCCAGGAAAGCCCTACAGGATACAGGTTCACTGTTCAACGAAAGCCCTACAGGATACAGGTTTATTGTTCTAGGGAAGCCCTATGGGATACAGGTTTATTGTTCCAGGAAAGCCCTATGGGATACCGGTTTATTGTTCTAAGAAAGCCCCCATGGGATACAGGTCTATTGTTCTAGGAAAGCCCCCTGGGATACAGGTTTATTGTTCCAGGAAAGCCCTACAGGATACAGGTTTATTGTTCCAGGAAAGCCCCCTGGGATACAGGTTTATTGTTCTAGGAAAGCCCTACAGGATACAGGTTTATTGTTCCAGGAAAGCCCCCTGGGATACAGGTTCATTGTTCCAGGAAAGCCCTACAGGATAAAGGGTTAATTGTTCTAGGGAAGCCCTATGGGATACAGGTTTATTGTTCCAGGAAAGCCCTATGGAATTCAGGTTTATTGTTCTAGGAAAGCCCCATGGGATACAGGTTTATTGTTCTAGGAAAGCCCTATGGGATACAGGTTTATTGTTCTAGGAAAGCCCCCATGGGATACAGGTCTATTGTTCTAGGAAAGCCCTACAGGATACAGGTTCACTGTTCCAGGAAAGCCCCAATAGGATACAGGTTATGGAAGTATGCCGCCAGCATGGGTACGGTGCTGAGAACCCAGGAACCATAATCAGGCAGACAAAAATACATTAATTTATGAACAAAAGATTCTATTATTCAAATTGTTACTTTGCACCATTTAGCATGCTAATACCATTTGTCTCAAAAATAGTCTGAACATAACATGGCAATATTCCTGCTGTGACAACAGCCTGTACATTATGAAGTACAAACAAGAACGAGATTGTCTGTGAGAGTGAGTAATGATCCATACCATTGATGTGTGATGACCTGTCTTCAACCAAGTCAACCAGACCTGCCTACCCTTTCCAACATGTCTCCCCTTACGACCAGCCACTCACTCCATAAAAATACCAACATTGAATGACCACAGGGAAATGTCCTTCCTTTCTCCACAGCTGTGAAACTGATGGAGAAATGTTGTTCAAATGGACAACACAAAACTGACTGAAGAAACAAATATTCAGGACTGATAAATCAGTGATGAGATTATCTTACCTTGTCTTCTCAAACTCCTTCAGAAAGGCTGGAGTCTCATTGAACAGATCGTCATCAGACTCCAGGACCGAATCACTGCCAGCTTCCGACTCGGACAGAGCATCTGTAATACAAACACAACATTGGTTTTATCTGCAGCTAAATCGCAAACCAAACAAAAAGGCTAAAGACTTTTCCCTATAAGAGTCAAAATAAATCAATGAATTCAGTACCTCAGATATGGTCTTGTGTGTAATCCTCACTTCATGTGGATCCTGTTGTGCAGTCATGAAAGTGTCACTAAAGGCCATTTTGATCATCAGAAACAAACGCACATGGTACATGCTGAATGTCGTCTTAAGCAAGTGACTCCAAGTTCAAATTATGCCTATGGTAACCAAGCAGTGAATGGGTAACTGATAGTATAGGCCTCACGGGCAGCTTGGGTTGTATTCTCCCCAGGGAGCTGAGAAATGAGAACTTGATTGCACACTTATTTGGGGTAATAATGATACAAGTTAAACTAGCAACTGACTCCATAACACATAGTGTACAATATGTAGTATTCATGTTCATACTTTATTCATCTTGCGTAATAAAAGTAATATATACTGAGTCTCTCTCTCGATGTAGTATGATACCAACATTAGTCAAAAAGAAAATGTCTTCAACTCAGGCTTGGCCAGGACTTTTAACGTTTTGACTGACAGGTGATAAGTGAGTGAGTGACTGAGATTAGTTTTATGCCGCTTTTAGCAATATTCCAGCAATATCACGGAGGGGGACACCAGAAATGGGCTTCACACATTGTACCCATGTGGGGAATTGAAACCTGGGTTTCGACGTGACGAGCGAACACTTTAACCACTACTCTAACCCACCAGTACAGGTGGTGAGAGTGTATCTATCAATCATACAACAAATGTTCAGTTTGCAGATACAGAATCTCACACAATCATCATATAATATCAAACACTACTCTACCCCACCAGTACAGGTGGTGAGAGTGTATCTATCAATCATACAACAGATGTTCAGTTTGCAGATACAGAATCTCACACAATCGTCATATAATATCACACATGACTCATGGATGGCAGTTTATAGCCTTGAGGCTTGCTGACACCAGTTAGAGATTCTGCTTTCCAACCAGAAACTTCTATAACTTTGTCAGTTAATACACATAATTTGCCACCTGTCAACTTCCATCAAATTTACAAGCATCCAGTGCATACTAATTACTATAGGAAAATTCCAACACAATCATTTGTTAATAACATGGCTTATCTCCAATATTGTCATGTTACAGATCCTGCTTGCTTTTTAAACATTTCAAAAACATAATTTTAGGGTATAAAATCCCTGAATGTGAAATTATTCCCCGATTCCCCTTGGCCATGCTGTGTCCTGCGTGGACCGCAGACAGAGTGTCGTGTCCTACAGGAAACACAGGGTCTGCCCTTCCATATGGACTATACTCACTAAATACTGGTCCACAGTCCATCTCTCCCAGGCACTTTAACCACACTAAACACAAATGTTGGTATTGGTGGACTATCACACCCACTCTTGTTCAAATGTCTGCCAGTGCTCCCACGTCACATAAGCAAAACAACATGCAAGTGGCTGGGGTTTAAATTTCACAAAATTTTTTTGTCCACTTATGAATAAATAATGCGGTAATAATTGTGACGAATAGCAAATGGTGAATGTGACATGCTGGCCTTATTATGAAAGAAGAGAATATTGGACAGTCTAACTCAGGCAATCTATAAACGCATAATGTTCTGTGATATTGTATGATGTTCTGTGATGTTCTATGTTTATCTATTAAGTTCTGTGATGTTCAGTCATGTTTGATGGTGTGCAGAGATATTGTATGATGATCTATGTTTATCAACTATGCTCTATGACGTTCAGTGATGCTTCAAATTGTTCTTTGATGTTCAGCAATGTCATTGGTTCTATCATTTTTCACTCTGTTCACTGATGTTTTAATGACATTCACTTATGTTTCACATCGTTCTATGATGCTTTATGATGTTTTATGATGTTCAGTAATGTTTCACATTACTCTTTGATGTTCAGGTGTTTTTTCATGATGTTAAGTAATGTTTTACATTGTACTATGATGTTCAGTAATGTTTTACATTGTACTATGATGTCCAGTGATGTTTTATGATGTTCAGTAATATTTCACATTGCTCTTTGATGTCCAGTGATGTTTTAATAAAACGTTTATGATGTTCAGCAACCTTTCACATTGCTCTTCGATGTTCAGTTGTTTTTTCATGATGTTCAGTAATGTTTTACATTGTACTATGATGTTCAGTAATGTTTAACATTGTACTATGATGTTCAGTAATGTTTTACATCGTTCTATGATGTTCAGTAATGTTTTACATCGTTCTATGATGTTCAGTAATGTTTTACATCGTTCTATGATGTTCAGTAATGTTTCACATCACTGCAAGATGTTTTATGATGTTCAGTAACCTTTCACATTACTCTTTAATGTTCTATGAAATTCTATGTCATACAATGTTCTATTATGTTATAAGCAGGACATTTGCAAGGACAGCAAAAACATTATTTAACTTCTGACCTAACTGTTCTTCTTTACATATTTAGCAATTGCAAACAGATCTGATAAAAATAATGTGATGTACCAAAGATGCTGTATCCGGCTGTTTTCTGGGAAAAGTTGTTGAATGTCATATACATTTAATGTCTTCATAGGTGTACTCATGAAGAATACTAACAGAATAGCTTAGAATTTGATCAGTGGGTGCTTTTCCAAGAGCAACATGAATACAAGTACCCCTCATTTATAGTTATTACTACTCTAAAACTATCAAAGCGTTCCTTCAAGGAGTATGTTTTGGGGACAAAGGACCAGTAAATGATTACCAAATGTACACGAGGACAAATCATCAACTGAAACCAAATACCGTGGTGGGGACTGGCCATATGGAGTGCCCTCATCATCTGAACCACTTATCACCTGAACCACCCATCACCTGAACCACCCATCGCCTGAACCACTCATCGCCTGAACCACCCATCGCTTGAACCATCCATCGCCTGAACCACTCATCGCTTGAACCACCCATCACCTGAACCACCCATCGCCTGAACCACCCATCACCTGAACCACTCATCACCTGAACCACCTACCACTCATCACCTGAACCACCTACCACTCATCACCTGAACCACCCATCACCTGAACCACCAATCGCCTGAACCACTCATCATCTGAACCACCCATCATAAGCTAACTCAGATTTCCTTTTAATTTTCCGGTTACATGAAGAACACTGATAAATCTTTTCTGAGCCAAAATTGATTCAAAAGACTCACTTATGCTTTTAGCTTTTTGCCTGTTTGTACTAATTATTATTAATGTTCTATATTTTCCTGTGGATTCTGTCAAAAGTTCAGCTTCTTAAATGCAGCAGCCCAAAACAACAGGTGTCTTCATAAGTAAATGTTTCGTTGACTGTCCCTTCAGCAAAAAGTGAGCGAGTTTACGTTTATGCCACTTTTAGCAATATTCCATGGCAGGGGACACCAGAAACGGACTTCACATATTGTACCCAAGTGGGGAATCAAACGCGGGTCTTTGGTGTGATGAGTGAACGCTTTAATCACTAGGCTAACCCACCGCCCTCCTTTAGTAAAAACTATTTTTAGAAACAAGTGACAATAACAGAAGAAACAGGTCAACTCACCATCATCCTTCTTCTTTGCAGCTTCTGATTTTTCCTCTTGGATCTCTTTCAGAGCTGTCTCTGACAATGCTGAGCTCAGTTTAGGAATCCTGTAAGACCCCAAAGGGTTGCACACATCCGCAGGTCGCCTCGTTGGAGTGTGGGTTGGTCTGCATAAACCTGATGACTCCGACAAGGCACTTGATGTTGAAGATGCAGATGGTTTGGCTTTAAAGGCAGGAGACTTGACCAGATTAGACTTAAATTTAGACAACCTTAAGCTGTCTAATACCATTTTAGACTTTGATGGTGTCCGCACAGTTTCAGGGGTGTCAACATCCATGGGTTCAGGAATTTCATATGAATCTTCACTAGCATAGTCCATAGTTCTTGTTCGATCCCCATCTTTGTTTCTTGGGGAGGCATCTTGTGAAAGAAACCTCCTGATATCTGCTTTGGGGTTTTTCACTGTTTTCCCAAAAGATTGTGAGCTTCTAATCTTATTCCTATCCTTGACATCGGCCTTTGTCCCTGACTCACTGCGATGTCTATCTCCATCCGAGGACCTGGGACTAGAAGTGTGGGACTTGGAGTTGGGACTACTGTGATGGCGACGTTTTTCTCCATCAATGTGCTTCTTCTTCATAGGCTTTGAGGAATTGCATTGGTCAATCTCCGGATCCAGCTGCTGTTGATTTGATGACTTCTTCACCCAGTCACTGACATCTCTATGACTCATTCCGCGCACCTTTTCAGAAAACAGGGAATCTCTGCTATCTGTTCCTGATGGAATCAATCTCCAAGCTGATCCTTGTGGAGATGCAGTAAGTGACACAGGCGATCTCTCCACTTGATTTGCTGATGATTCTTTGGGACTAGCAGTTGGGTCCTTCCTCTTGTGATCATCACTTTGATCACTTTCAGGCTTCTGCAACTCTTTTGTACCAAGAAGCACCTTGGTACTTAAATCTGTACAAACTGAACTGACTCCAGCTGAACCTTCCCTGACAAGTACTGGACGTTTTGAGGAGGGACCTTGCTTCTTTGTGTTCACAAGCAACAACTTGTCCTCTAAATCTGAGTTTCCCCTATGGACATCTGTTTCACCTTGCAGTGAAGGTTTGGGACTTGCTGCAGGAATCTGGGCCAAGGACTTGGAGTCTTTTGTTCTGAAATCTTCATCTTCTTTTCCCCTACTTCAGCTGCTAATCCTGAGGGCACAGAATACCTACCTGTCACATTTCCACCTTGACAACTTGCCACAGATTTAATAACATCCTGTAAGTGTCTGCCCGCATAGTCCCTGGAACCTACAGCAATATTTCCAGATTGTCCAACAGGGCAGCCTACAGACAAGGATCTGGAATCATCCCTGGAACCTACAGCAATATTTCCAGATTGTCCAGAGCCTAACGACCAATCATCCCTGGGCAGCCTACAGCAATATTCCCAGATTGTCCAACAGGGCAGCCTACAGACAAGGATCTGGAATCATCCCTGGAACCTACAGCAATATTCCCAGATTGTCCAACAGGGCAGCCTACAGACATGGATCTGGACAGTGTTGGTCTGTGACCTGCATCTTTTCCATCGCTTGTATATCCAGCACCCTCATCTAAATCAGGAGGGATGCCCCAATACCCACCATCTGTCAAATCTTCAAAGGTCTGAGGTCTGTTGCTGCCTGCCTCTGAATGTCTGCTGCTGAACTGTCTGTGATCCTCGCTCTCGGGAACACTCCTTCCTGGGGAGCTCACTATTCCTACAAAGGCAACAACTATGAAAAATAACACAATACAACCACATGAAATATTCTTCACTTCTGTCAAATCATGGGATTGATGGCAAAAAGGAACAAAGTTCTTGTTGATTGGCTAAGTCTATGGAGACAATGAATTGTTAATCTCGCCTTTTGTGTGAAAATGTCTTTTTTGAAGAGTCTGATTACAAACATGCGACAGGATGTCTACTGCAAGCACAAACGACATTCTTTAATACATCCTCCATATATAACAACATACATACTGCCTACATTCAACAATACAGACAATCAATATCTCTCCAGGGACATCTTGCCAGGTAAGGAATTTCCATACATTATGCAATAACAGTGTTTGGTATATAAGACAGCAGACATTAATATTCAAACACTATCAAAGCAGCCAGTCAATATGTGAACCAGACAACCAGTGGCTGAAGGTAGGAGCTTTCTGTGATCTCTGGACAAGATAGCAAGATACACCACCTCATCTGTAGCTGGACATCACAACAAGCATATGCAGCAGGGAAGCATATACGGGATACTCGGGATCTATCCTTGTATTGAATCTCCACAGGGAGACAAGCATGGGATTCTGGGGACCTATCCTTGTACTGAATCTCCACAGGGAGACAAGCATGGATTGGGATACTGGGGATCTATCCTTGTATTGAATCTCCACAGGGAGACAAGCATGGGATTCTGGGGATCTATCCTTGCAATGAATCTCCACAGGGAGACAAGCATGGGATTCTGGGGATCTATCCTTGCAATGAATCTCCACAGGGAGACAAGCATGGGATTCTGGGGATCTATCCTTGTACTGAATCTACACAGGGAGACAAGCATGGGCTTCTGGGGATCTATCCTTGTACTGAATCTCCACAGGGAGACAAGCATGGGATTCTGGGGATCTATCCTTGCAATGAATCTCCACAGGGAGACAAGCATGGGATTCTGGGGATCTATCCTTGCAATGAATCTCCACAGGGAGACAAGCATGGGCTTCTGGGGATCTATCCTTGTACTGAATCTCCACAGGGAGACAAGCATGGATTGGGATACTGGGGATCTATCCTTGTACTGAATCTCCACAGGGACACAAACACAGGATACTGGGGACCTATCCTTGCACTGAATTTCCACAGGGAAACAAGCATGGGGCACTGGGGATCTATCCTTGTACTGAATCTTGCATTAAAATCACCAACAATCAATATAACTGGATTTGAAGTAAAACATTCAAGGTGTTCAACAATGATATGCTCAAGATGAAAAAATAAAATATAAGATATCATGTTCATGATCAAATATTTCTTGATTAAGTTTAAGAACATACCTATATATATGACATATTTCACATATTTAAGGGTGTTACAAATCTCTCCATAGAATTGACCGCCTCCGTGGTGTAGTGGTTAGAACGTGCGGCCGAGAGCGGAAGGTCGCGGGTTCGATCCCCGGCCGCGCCATACCAAAAGACGTTAAAATATGGTACTTGTTGGTCCCTGCCTTGCGCTCGGCATTATAATGGGTACAACAGGGTACCTGTTCCCTTTAGTACTAATACATGGTTAGCAGTACTACTATAATACTCAACATGGTGGACCATTAACTCCCAATACAACTAAAGTACTGAACATGGCAGACCACTGACTCCCAATACAACTAGATTACTAAACATTATTTTTAAACCTGATCCTATGTAGCAAAAGCAATTTTAATTGTTAATAAATAATACTACAATATTGAAATCCTTGATATATCCATGATGATAAATAATATTAAAATACCTATAAAATAACTTTTTCGAAAGCAGTAAATTGCTATGAAATCCTAGCTATGATGATAAACCTTCTCTGTATCAGCACCCACAGATTATTTCAGCCAACATATTAAAACTTGGCATGTTTGTCTCTGGTGTCAAAACATGCAACATGAAATCCAGAATGGCGAATAATCATTATTGGAAAGCACTTACTCATCTTACACAGCAACAGCCTTGTTACAGCAGAGCTAGCACCCACCACTCTTCCACCAGAAACAACAAGTCATTAAACACTGCATATTTAGCCCAATACAGCTTTAATAATCAATATTTCCTGTCGTGTAAACATTGCTTGCCTATGTTGCATTTTATCAATACAAATCTGTAGCAGATTTCCATCTGTCCCACTGTAGCTGAGTCAGGATAGGGTTTTCATGTCCCACGGTGACACGTTGCTGTACACCTCACGCAGCGAAACAAAGCTCTCCATCACACAGTCGAAACATCTGTCGCACAAACTGGTGGCTACATCACAATTAACTTCTTATATGTCACCTATCAAATATATATTTTCCCTTAGCATTTGCCAGAAGTACAACTGAAACACAAAGTGTCTTCGCCATGCCTCTGATTCTGAAGTAATATTTTGGGGACCCCAATTCATATACAACAAGAAGACAAAGTCATCAATATCCCCCTCAACAGCAAAATACTCTTTATGAATATGTCTACTAATTATGGTTATGGCAAATGTTTTGGAGTGTATACAGCAAAGTGGAAGGAGAGCATTGAAAGGTTTTCAAGATCTGCTCCAGAAAGGAGCACTACCATCAAATTCGGTTGAAGCCCAACTTGTTGCCATGCAAATGCAACAAAATCACATCCTCATAGCCACAGCCTAAGTCATGTTTCCATGGAAACAGCAAAAAGTAAAATTCATATCTGGGTCTAACCCCCAAAAGGCATATCTAGGGATCATGCTTGATATGTGTACCACCTTTGATGAAGCTAGCACATATAGTTTGGAAGATCTGCTCCAGACAAGATGACATCCTCATAGCCACAGCCTAAGTCACGTTTCCATGGAAACAGTAAAAACCAAATTTCATATCTGGGTCTCACCCCCAATAGGCACTTGTAGGGATCATGCTTGATATGTGTACCAAGTTTGATGAAGCTAGCATGTATAGTTTTGAAGATCTGCTCCGGACAAGATGACATCCTTATTGTTACACCCTACTTCATGTTTCCATGGAAACAGCAGAAGATAAAATTCATATCTGGGTCTAACCCCCAAAAGGCACATCTAGGGATCATGCTTGATATGTGTACCAAGTCTGATGAAGCTAGCATGTATAGTTTGGTGGAAGATCTGCTCCGGACAAGATGACATCCTCATAGTCACAGCCTAAGTCAAGTTTCCATGGAAACCGCAAAAAATAAAATTTGCATCTGGGTCTAACCCCCAAAAGGCACATCTAGGGATCATGGTTGACGTGTACCAAGTTTGCTTAAGCTATCACGAATAGTTTAGGAGATAAGCTTCGGACAAAGTGTGATGGATGCACGGACACACGGACGGAACTCATTTCTATATCCTTCATTGTTGCGGGGGATAAAAACAGCTCCAAATTCCACAGGAAGAAGCTCATAAGCAAACTGTACTGCTATATGAAAAGGTCTTGTACAGAGAGATTTGGGCAGCATTGTCGACAGAAGTCAATCCTAAGATCTAATTTTGCAGTTGGTGATTTAAGAAAGTTCTACATAATGAGTGAATATGTTCCAGCAAAACGACAGCAGGGAACATCAGAAAGGGCTTCCGAGATTCTACCCATGTTGGGAACACAGGCCATGATGAGTAGGTGCTTAAACAACCGGGCTTACCAAATTGCCCTCTGAATATAATCCAATATATATAAGTGTCATTCTCAAAATTCGTGCATATTTCATGTAGGAAAAAATTGTAAATTTTGCTTTATTGTTTTACCTTGAAATGTTTATGATTACATTCATAGTATTCTGAATATACCAAACATAAATTATGCAAGCTTCTAAGATGCTTGGGTGAAACATCAAAGGCACCGACAGTACTTATCAGACGATAATGTGCACTCTTTGCATTACGTCACAATGTATTGGCGTCACTGCACCATACTTGTCTGCCTCTTCGTAATCAAACAATTTTGCGTTACGTCACAATGTAAGCGACGTCACGATGCATATCAGTTGTCATCGCTTCGTACAGCCTCCTACAGTAAACTACTCCTTTGCATCCCGGTTCTTGGTTTGCAGTTGCTTCACGCAGTTAACATCACTGGTGGAATCATTACGTTTATGTTTTCCGACGGTTAAAATGTCTCAATTCGACTCACAAGTTTTTAGCGACACGGTAACGTTCACAATGTTTACATTCCCACAATGCAATCATGGAATGTCGCTTGACTACTCAGCTTCATCTGGATGTACTGATCTAAACTTACGTTGGTTGTAGAAATGCGACGTTCATATTGCCCCATATGGTTTACATTAAAGACAGATGTAATTAAAACAAGTTAGAGAAGGTATTTAATCAGAATGTCAACCGTCATTAAACTGCTATTTGTTTTTCTGGTAACGTTCGTCTTAACGTAGTGGGGCAGACACATCAATAGAACAGCGCGCCAGTTAGCCCTGTGCATGGATTCTTAATTTAGGTCACTGACACCGTCGTTTGTTTTCTGACTTAAATTAATCGTAATTATCCTTAGAAAGTATTATATTTGGCATCTTAGAAAAGAAATACAGTTCTCACTACCACCATGTATAGTGTAATAAAGCACACTTTCGCCCTCAACTATTATAAATTAAAGCACTTGGACGCAAGCGCACTCGTACTTTAACTATAATAGTTCAGGGCGAAAGTGTGCTTTATTACACTATACATGGTGGTAAAGCAAACTGTATTTCTTAATTAACGATGTTTCATTTTTCATATTTTGACCCTTTTATTAGAAATTTTATGAAATTGTGTCGCTACCGTTACCAAATTTGTGACATCATTTTGAAAAGAAAAAATCTAAAGATGATATTTATTTAATATACATATATATCAAAATATCTAGTTTTACAATATAACATGGCTAATGAGTTTTGAAATTTTATATTTATTGCTCAAAAGGGGCCAACAAGCCACAAAAATTCTTTCATTTCTGATTTGCAAATGTAAAGTAATATGTAGTGAAAAATTCAAAAT